TGGAAGCCCCCTATATATATATATATATAGTGGCGGAGCCACTCCTAGACATGGAGTGGCCCTGGCCCCCCCATATTTTTACCACTCTTATATTATATTATATATAATATATAAAATTTGTGATAAACAACTTAGAATTGAAGTTAAAATGTCCTCTAAAACAAATTAGATATGACTTAATTAGAAATATTTAGCTCTAAACATGTAAGTATTGTATATTTAAGTGTTTTATATACTTATATTTTCTATTTCGGCCCCTCCAACTTTACAATTCTAGCTCCGCCCCTGGCTCCTTCATTTATTCACCAGGAAATCATCGCTTAGTGTAAAAGTCTGATATTTTGATACGATCAAGCTAAGTGACTCACGTACGTCCTCCAACTGGAATTACTCCAAAATTCGTCCATTTGATTATGTTTTGCTCCAGAGAGAGTCGAAAGTCCTATATTGAAAATATAATTCAAAGTATCAAAATTCTTCCAAAATATTAACCAAAATATACTAAGAATAGGGTTAAATATATAATATAAAATCGACTCATCAAAATGCTTACCTTTTGCGTGCAATGAAAGCTTTCTCTCGGAGTTTGGTGATGAGATACACTGACAGTGCTCTGACAAGGAAAAAAGACGAAAAGTTTTCTCTCGGAGATTGAAATTTTTTCTTGGGTTTTTGGAAACAGTGCAAGTGTAAGTTAGGTAGATGAAAAGTTGAATATATTCACAAACCGTTTCATAAAAATAAGACGGCGGTTTAAAGAGAAGGACAACGTATAAATATAAAACTACGACGGTAATTTGAACTTAGGGCGTGGTAAATAAATACGACAATAGTATTGTAGGTACCGTTGTAGTAAACTCCAAAATAAAAGTCGATAAATTAATCTCTCGCGTCATGGTACAAGGATTTAACACGTCGTTTTTTTAAATATACCGATGTGGATTATGTTATAATATACGACGTAGATTAAATAATAATCGACGTGGATGTTTACAATTAAACGGCGGTTTGTGTGTAAGGACTGCCGTGGGTTTTAAAGATTTATTGTATAAATTTGACGCTTTCTTTCAGTTTCAGTTTTCATTTAGGGTTCCAAGTTCTTCTGGAGGCTCGTCTTCCTCTCTCACAGACACTCTCTCTCACATCTCAAAGACAATAATTTGGATGTATCGATGTATGTCTTAATCATATCTCAACACATTCATCGATAAAATGAGTCATACAATCTGCAAACATTTTTGTCGTCTCTCTGTGTGTACTAAAATAAGTCACTTACTGGGAAAAACACCATTTTAAAAATAAATTGTATTAAATTTTAGTTTTGCATTTTTTAAATCAAAATAAAAAATTTACAATGGTAAAAAGAAAATTTAATATTTTTTTTGGGCAAAAAGTCACTTTTGGTCTCTGTCGTTTCAATTTGGTCAATTTTGTCCCTGTAGTTTTAATTTGAAGCAATTCAAGGACAATTCTCAATTTCTGTCAAATTTTTTTTAACTTCCATTAGTTGTAGAGGGGTAGTAATTCGGTCCACAAATTATTAAAATAAGGAAAATAAATTTAAAATAAAAGTAAAACATCTTTCTCCATTCCTCCTCCCAAACCCGATGCCCACCAACAGTCACAACACCATCCAACCCCAGCAAACCACCACCTCCTTGTAACCAACCACCAACCTAGCCACCCAAGCCTGCCCCAACCCCAAATGATACATAAACATGCCTCGATATAGCGAAATTGTACAACCACGATTTTGCGCCTTTTCACAAGAACAACCACCACAACAACGTCTCTATTTACCAAAACTCTACGCCTTCGTTAACATTGGCTGTTTCAGAATTCAAAAAACCTTCAAAATTTCAAATAAATAAAAATAAAAAAATCACAAAGAACAAATGTCCCAAATCCAAACCCCTAATTAATCAAATTCACAGAGATGAGGTTTTGATTCGGTGGCGATCGGACAAACATGAACGTTGGGGACGATGACGATGACGATGCCGTCAACAAACCCCAAAGACCACGACATCAACGCCACCCGATCACCCAAAAACCTTCGTCACCATCAAAGCCATGTGGCCATCGCCATCATCTTCGTCGTCGTGTTGTTGATCTCCATCGCGAATTGGCTCTCTCTCGTCTTCTCCGACGCCCCTTAGCCCTTCCCTGCCCCCTCAAACCCTCACTAAATCCTGTAATCGTAGCCTCTCACTCTCTTAACAACAATAGCAATGTCGTCTGGTTGGAAGAGAAGCTCCCCGAAACAACGTCGATCTTTCCTTGCCACCGATCATGATTTTCCGAGGACATAGCACGATTTCGTTTGAGGTTGGGGTTGGTTTGGGCGCATCTTCAGATGCACATGCATGCTCTCACATTTTTTATTATAATATTTATTATTGAGAATAACTATTACTAATTATATAGAGGGAAGGGAAAAGAGCCTTGGTTAGTGAGGAAGATTCCATCTATATATTTTTATTCCATATATTTTTATTAAATTATCATTGTAAATATTTTATTATGAAAAAGATTATCCTCTTATATTTTATTTGCTCATCCTCATCTTTTCATGAATTGACATTAGATGCAAAGCAAAGAGAACGTTTTCTGCATTTGCTCACACCCAAACTCTTCTGAGAGAGTGAGACTTTTCAGCAAAAAGAGAAAAACATCCTAGTAATAAAAAATTAGTTACATGTTGCAATCATTGGGTGGCAGGTTGTGTCAGGTTGTGAAAACGCATCAATAACTGAAGACCGGAAGTTTCAGCGACATTTGCTCACATCCAAACTCTTCAAGTAAAAAAGACTCATATTTTGCTTAGCGAATCCAGAGAGAAGCAAACACTGAAACAATTATGTTGGCTTCCATGGCCAACCGAGAAGCCTCTTCTTCTTCTGCTCCTTTCACCAAATCATGGAAATACCATGTCGTTCTGAGCTTCAGAGGCGAAGACACGCGCCACAACTTCACGGACCATTTGTATAGCGCTTTATGTCAACAAGGCATTAACACCTTCAGGGATGATGATGAGCTCATAAGAGGAGAAGAAATATCAAGCGCGCTTTTCACAGCAATTGAAGAATCAAAGATTTCTGTCGTTGTGTTCTCTAAAAACTATGCCTCTTCAAAGTGGTGTTTGGATGAACTTGTTAAGATTCTTGACTGCAAGAAATCAAAACAACAACTGGTCATACCAGTTTTTTACAAGGTGAATCCATCAGATGTACGGAATCAGAGAGGTAGCTTCGGGGATGCACTGGCTAACATGGAGTGCAAATACAAAGAAAATATGCAGAAGGTCAACAAATGGAGGGCAGCTCTTTCACAAGTAGCAGCTTTGTCAGGGTTCACTTTGGACGAGTAAATTTCTAACCGCCTTTATATAATGCTTTTCCTTTTGTTTTCTTTGTAATAAGTATAGCCACTATATTTTTATGTCAATAATTAATTAATAGTGCGAAAATTATTAAGGTTATACTTATTATTAATAAATTAATTTTCTCCGTTTCAAAAATTATACTTATTATTTGAAAAATATAAGATCGTGTATTTTAAAAATAAAACTAGTTTTTATTCCAATTCTTGACAAACTTTAATTGGAATCAGTTTTATAAGAGTTAATTTATTCATCGTTGCTCAAAGTTCTCTTCTTTTTGTATGTATAATGTTTTTTTTTATTTTTTATGTTATATAGAAATGCCATGTCACTAAATACTTCATTTTCTTTTAAATTGGCAGGCGTCAATCTGAATCTGAGTTTATCCAAAACATCATTGAAAAGATTTCAAAACACATATTAAACACCGTGTGTTTGGAAGTGGCAGAGCATCCAGTTGGAATGCAAGCTCAAGTACAAGTTATGAATGAGCTATTAGATTTGGGGATGGTTTGGGCGCATCTTCAGATGCACATGCATGCTCTCACATTTTTTATTATAATATTTATTATTGAGAATAACTATTACTAATTATATAGAGGGAAGGGAAAAGGGCTTGGTGAGTGTGAAAGATTCCATCCGTAAATATTTTATTATGAAAAGATTATCCTCTTATATTTTATTTGCTCATCCTCATCTTTTCATGAATTCACATTAGATGCAAAGCAAAGAGAACGTTTGCTGCATTTGCTCACACCCAAACTCTTCTGAGAGAGTGAGACTTTTCAGCAAAAAGAGAAAAACATCCTAGTAATAAAAAATTAGTTACATGTTGCAATAAACAAAACATATCCGGTGGGCTCGGTTTAATTTTCAACAAGCATTGACTGGCAGGTTGTGTCAGGTTGTGAAAACGCATCACTAACTGAAGACCGGAAGTTTCAGCGACATTTGCTCACATCCAAACTCTTCAAGTAAAAAAGACTCATATTTGACTTAGCGAATCCGAATTAATTTGGCTTCCATGGCCAACCAACGAGCCTCTTCTTCCTCTGCTTCTTTCCCAAAGTCACGGGAAGACCAAGTATTTCTGAGCTTCAGAGGCGAAGACACGCGCCACAACTTCACAGACCATTTGTATAGCGCTTTATGTCAACGACGCATTAACACCTTCAGGGATGATGATGACCTCGGAAGAGGAGAAGAAATATCACGCGCGCTTCTCACAGCAATTGAAGAATCAAAGATTTCTGTCATTGTGTTCTCCAAAAACTATGCCTCTTCAAGATGGTGTTTGGATGAACTTGTTAAGATTCTTGACTGCAAGAAATCAAAACAACAACTGGTCATACCAGTTTTTTACAAGGTGAATCCATCAGATGTACGGAATCAGAGAGGTAGCTTCGGGGATGCACTGGCTAACATGGAGTGCAAATACAAAGAAAATATGCCGAAGGTCAACAAATGGAGGGCAGCTCTTTCACAAGTAGCAGCTTTGTCAGGGTTCACTTTGGACGAGTAAATTTCTAACCGCCTTTATATAATGCTTTTCCTTTTGTTTTCTTTGTAATAAGTATAGCCACTATATTTTTATGTCAATAATTAATTAATAGTGCGAAAATTATTAAGGTTATACTTATTATTAATAAATTAATTTTCTCCGTTTCAAAAATTATACTTATTATTTGAAAAATATAAGATCGTGTATTTTAAAAATAAAACTAGTTTTGATTCCAATTCTTGACAAACTTTAATTGGAATCAGTTTTATAAGAGTTAATTTATTCATCGTTGCTCAAAGTTCTCTTCTTTTTGTGTGTATAATGTTCTTTTTCTTTTTTATGTTATATAGAAATGCCATGTCACTAAATGCTTCATTTTCTTTTCAATTGGCAGGCGTCAATCTGAATCTAAGTTTATCCAAAACATCATTGAAAAGATTTCAAAACACGTATTAAACACCGTGTGTTTGGAAGTGGCAGAGTATCCAGTTGGAATGCAAGCTCAAGTACAAGTTATGAATGAGCTATTAGATTTGGGGGAAAGCGATGTTCGTATGGTAGGGGTATGGGGAACTGGTGGAATTGGTAAGACCACAATTGCTAAAGCTGTTTATAATTCAATTGCCCACAAATTTAAAGGTTGTTCCTTTTTGGCAAACGTTAGAGAAAGGTCAACGTCGCATGAAGGTTCAGTCGGATTACAAGAGAATCTTCTTTCTGACATTCAAAGGGTAAAAAATTTGAAGGTGACCAACGTTGATAAAGGAGTCACTATTATAAAGGAATGGTTGAGTCGTAGAAAGATTCTCTTGGTTCTTGATGACGTGGATGACATGGAACAGTTACACAAGTTAGTTGGAGCATGTGATTGGTTTGGTGCAGGCAGTAGAATTATCATAACAACAAGGGATAAGCAACTGTTAACTGCTCATGATGTTAATTTAATCCATGAGGTCAAGATTTTAGATGATGATAAAGCTCTTGAGCTCTTCTGTTGGCATGCCTTCAAAAGAAGTGGGCCTTCTTTGGATGATTATGTGAAACTTGCAGAAAGTGCAATACGCTATGCTCAAGGCCTTCCTTTGGCTTTGAAAGTTCTCGGTTCTTGTCTATGTGGTGGAAGTATAGATAAATGGGAACACACATTGGATGGTTTCAAAAGCAAGAAAATTCAAGATGTTCTCAAAGTAAGTTACGATACCTTGGATGATATTGTCAAGGAGGTTTTCCTTGACATCGCATGTTTCTTTAAGGGTAAAAGTAGAAACTATGTGATAGAAACACTAGAAGCTTGTGACCTCAGCCCTAGGTATGGTATTGAAGTACTCATTGAAAAGGCCCTCATAAGTGTTGAACATGGAGATTATATTCGGATGCATGACTTATTAGAAGAGATGGGTAAGGACATAGTTGAGCAAGAGTCGCCCACTGAAGCCGGAGGACGTAGCAGATTGTGGTTTCATGAAGATGTCGAGCATGTTCTGACTAATAATACTGTAAGTATAATAATAATTATTATTTTTATTTGGAAGAAAAAGTTGAATTTGAAACTCGTGCACCTTTTTTTATTAAATACTTTGTAACAATGGTCCCTTTTCTTTTTCATGTTAGGGGAAAAAAAAAATCACAGGCATCATGTTAAATTCCCCCAAAAAGGATTATGAGATATTCATGGATGTTGATTGCTTCTCGAAGATGAAAAATCTTAAAATTTTCATGAACTATAACGTATGTCTTTCTGGAGACATTGGTTGTCTCCCAAACATGTTGAGAGTGCTTTATTGGTATAGATGTCCGCTCCAATCTTTTCCACCCAATTTTCGTCCAAACGGACTAGGGTTGCTCAATCTGCCTTACAGCTGCATCAAACAACTGTGGGAGGGATTGAAGGTACTTTAAGAGGTCTCGTTTATTAACTGATGTATGTTGTAAATTTCTTTAATGCTATCCATTTGATTATTATTATTTTTTCAATACTTTTTTGGTTTCACAGCATTTCACAAAGTTGACATCTTTGAATTTAGAGCTCTCTGAATTCCTAACTGAAATCCCCGACCTATCAGGCAGCCCAAACTTAAGGTACTTGAATGCTAGTTATTGTGAAAGTTTAGTTGAGGTTCATCCATCTGTTGGATATCTTGATAAACTTCAAGTATTGGATTTTTGTGGCTGCTATGAACTCACCAAGTTTCCAAATAAAGTTTGGTGGAAATCTCTGAAATGGTTGGATCTTAGAGATTGCATAAAGTTGGAGAGTTTCCCAGAAATTGTGGACAAAATGGAATCCTTATATCATTTGGGCCTTGCCGAAACGGCTATAAAGGAGTTGCCTGCATCAATTGGACATCTCATTGGGCTGAAATATTTGTTCTTATGTGGAACTCATATAAAAGAGTTGCCTTCCTCATTTGGACATCTAACTGCGCTTGCAAAGTTATCTTTAGAAAGAACTGCAATAGAAGAGTTGCCTTCATCAATTGGAGATTTCACTGCGCTTGAAATTTTAAATTTAGAAGGATGTGAAAACCTCGCAAATCTGCCACAAAGTATTTATAGGTTGCAAAATCTCACATATTTAAACCTCAATCGATGCCTGAAACTTGTCACACTTCCAAATAAATTGATCTCTGAAGTTTTATCGAGTGCAGAATCACTTCCTCTATTTTCATTATGGATGCAAGAGTGCAATGTATCAGACA